AAGAAAGAAAGAAAGCGAGTCAACATGACTCAAAAGAAAGAAAGAAAGCGAGTCTGTGTGACTCAAGAGAAAGAAGTGAAAAGCGAACCATTGTGACTCTAAGAAACCTCCTTCGAACAAGAGTTCCTTGTTACTAAAGAAAGTGTGTATATGTATATCTATCTATATGTATACTAAAGCATCATGCTCATTTTATTGCATGATTAAATGATTTGCACGTGTTGCACGAAAGTATGAGGAGAAGCATGACTTTATATTGTCATTTACTGATTATCTTGATAGCATGAGATTGCGTGTTAAAGTTTAAGTATATTTACCCATAAGTTGAGCATGAGTAATGTATTTCGCCATGATAAGTTTTATATGTGAAAGCATGAGATTGTTGATGAGTTAAATAATTGAGAAAGAATACCTATTTGATAATTAGGTTGCAAGCATATAAAATTAGTTTTGAGTATATTTGAGTTGTCGTTTAAAGTGATTGAGAATGCTTGATATAAGTGTATGTGACAAATGTTTTCCAAAAGTATATGCTATAGTACTTTACAGGGTTGAGTGGCGTTATACTTAGCTTCGTGCTAACGGGTTGTTTTTCTACTTGCTTGTTTGTTAACCCCTTTCAGGTGGGCCCAGTTGTTGAGAGGGATCGAGTTAGACTAGCTTAGCTTAGAGTGGTAGTTGTAGTCTAAACTCTTTTCAGTTATGTTTGTTGAGAATTGGTTGTAGATCTGTTAGATGTTTTAGGATGGTGTTGGACACCGAGGTTTTGTTCCCCAAGTTTGTTTAAAGTTAGTTAAGTTTGACGTTGTTTAGATCTTTTCCTTGCATGTGCAATCACCGTGTGTGGTGATTGTTGCGGTGACACCTCTTGAATTTTCACTATTAAGCTTATAATGCTATCTACTGGCTTGATTAGTTTCTTTCTTTTAAGTATTGTTAATAAGGTTTAAGAAAAGTGGGGTGTTACATAAGGACTCTCAACGAAGCCTACATCAGTGCCGCCGATCTTTATCGGATTCAGCTGTTGCAACGTGGAGCCTAAGGGCAAGCAAAGAGAAAGAACGATAGAGGTGGAGGTTCTAACTTCAAAAGGCCAAGGAACAATTCCAATGTTAGAGTGGCTTTTCAGCAAGCCCAAGGACCACCTAGAGGAAACAACGAGGCCAGAGGGAGGCAAACCCTTTGTAGGAGATGTGGCAAGGATCACCTGGGAAATGATTGCCAGGGAAACGTCGTGCAATGCTACAATTGTGGGGAAAAGGGCCACAAATCCTATGAGTGTAGGTACCGGTCCGAGCAAGCGGCGCCTAACAACCAACCTGTAAGTGCAAGGCCACCGTCTACAGGGCAACAAGGAAATATGAGCAACCGAGGATGTAACACCCCCTAAAATAGGCTAATCAAAACCTTAACACATGCAGATAACACAACTAAACAACAAACACAGCGGAAGACTAAAAGATAATTGGATAAATAAAAATTCAAGTCATGGGGTGTTATGCCACGTTCACCAACAAAGATGAACGCTACGGCAGAATCTGCATTGTTTACAACTATCCAAAAGATCTCAACAGTCTACAACTAGGTAGGCACACAGGCCATAAACCAACGAGAGAGCTATGCTAATAGGCACTAGACTGCGCACTCGCCTAGACATCACCGGAAAGAACACAATAAAACATGGGGCGACGCCCGGTCAGCGAATAAAGCTGGTAACCCACAAATACATGTGAAATAACATACATAAGTAAGATATAAGTTGTAAAGCCATTTTCGAAACGGAATACATAAGTATATAAGTCAAAACCAAGATCAATAGTCAACACAAGACTCAACACTCTCGACAAGGATACGGGAACACATCCCCAAAACCACAAAGGATAACCACAACACAAAAGATAACGACAAGACCAATGGCATCACATGCCCTTGTGACTACACACGTCACAAGAAAGAGAACTCATAACCACGGCTACACAAGCCCTCGTGACATCACCCATCACGAGTTGATATGCCTTCCTTATGCCCGGTTCCAACCTTATAGCTACCCCCAACCTTGTATCTTCTTCCAACCATTACCTCTAGGACCCATGTGTGAGCATATAGCCATTAACGTGCAATCCAACTACCAGTTTAGGTTTTTAGTTGAGATGGAGCACATGCTTCAATTTGGTATCAGAGCCAGACCAAAGGTCATGGGTTCGAATCCTAACGCCACTCGTAAGCGACTACGGTTTACCGGTCTACGTGTTGCTTGGAACCCACCGCACATGTGAGGGGGCGTGTGAGCATATAGCCATTAACGTGCAATCCAACTACCAACTTAGACTTTTAGTTGAGATGGAGCACATGCTTCAATTCCCTGTCCAACCTTTTCCCTCCTGGGACCGTCGTCCCCCACCAACGACCACCAACGAGACCACCAATTTCATAGTACACGAGGGTACCGTACACACACACACGGCAACACATGCCACCCAAGAATCACGTGAACCTTACACAAAGGCCACAACTCCATAATCACGTCACGGCCACCACGAGGACCGCAGCAATACCTTGGTGACTAGTGTCCCATACCACTAATCGTGCAATCCAGGTAAAGCCACTCACACATCAAACCACAACAGGAATCAATCAACGGATCACAACGAAGATATGAAACCATACTCAATCAAAGAATGGGTCACAGCCCAACAACAACAACGACGAATAACACAAGTTATCATCAACCAATAGGAAGGTACAAACAACACACACGCTAGCATTTAAACACCGAACTAGCATGCTTATCAAACGGGTAAACCAAAGATAGTTCCGAAGAACACACAAGACTCATCACGGTTCAATGAAACACAATGTTGAACACTTAGCACAATTCACGACACCAAAACCTACATGGAATCCTACCATATAGTTCTAGACATACGACACATCAAGAAGACACTCAAATAGTTCCACAAAAGAACATCGGGAAGTCCAAAGACCAAATACCGAGTCAAAAGAATCACGGGGAACAAATCCCAATCAAACACCACAGTGTTCCCCGCGGGTGGACCCACGGGTAGGCTCCCACCCGTGGTTCCGCCCGCGGGTACACTACCCAACGGCTTACGTTCCCCGCGGGTGGGCGGCGGGTTGGAGCTCTACCCGTCTTTCCGCCCGCGGGTACATATACCTGTACAAAATAATCCCTTCGGGGATTTTTCTCTCCAAACTCAAATTCAAGTCCAAAACATGTCAAATCTCACCAAATACAACAAAATCATTTGAATCAAAGGAAATGCCAAGCAATGGCACAAATGAACCCTAAACACAAGCTCTAGATATGCATTTTCACAAGATCATGCATCAACACTCACATTTCATAGCAAAACACATGTAGAATCCAAGAAATCACATATAGGTAAGCAAAATAGGTTTTGTAGAACATGGGTTACCTCTTGTAGACTAAAGACTTCACTTTACACCTCAACAAGCTCCTCACAAGGCTCACTTTCCAAACCCACTTCAAGAACAAACCAAAAGATCATAAAGATCCTATCTTTAAGAAAAGACACCTTAGATAAAACCAAAAACACAAGATGAACTTAGATCTTACCCTCCTAGATGCCCAAATATAGGAAAGGTTGAATCTTGGAAGCAACTCTTGAAATCTTGGCAAGGTTCCAACTTGGCTTGGAAGAAAAGCTACTCACCTTTTAGAGAGAGGGTGGAGCTAGATTTTTAGAAAAGTGTAGGGATAGAATGAAGATGGTCTACTAGGTTAGGTTACAATACTAACACCATGTGAAAGGTCAAGAATACCCTTACTAACATTAGGAAATGTAAGGGACAAGGGAACTCCTTACAAAGCCCAAGGTACAACTTTGACTTTGGGGTTGACTAGTCAATTATTAGTCCCCAAGTATTGAATTTTCAGGATTTTAGGAATTAATTAGTATAGGATTAATTACTTAATTAATCTGTTAATCGAATTTGGATTTTGGGGTGTCACAGAGGACGCTATGGAGCACCTACTGGAAGGCTTGGACCACCCCAAGGGAAAGTGTTTATCATGAGCCGAAGCCGAAACCGAAGCCGAAGTCGTAGCCATAGGAGACGAGGACCTTACAGGTAACCCTTTCTGAACCTATCCCCTTTACCATAGAGCTAATTAGAACAATTAATGGTTTCCTTTGGAATTTGCTAGACTTTAGCATTAATGCCTGAGTAATTTAAAGGTCCGACTAGGAAGTTTAACTTAGGACTTTTAGTCTCAGCCTAAGTTTGGTAGTAATGAAACTTTAGAGACCATAAGGAAGTTAAATTAAGAACCTTAAAATAAGTTAAGCGTAACCTAGGAGTCTCGAACCCACCCTAGACAACTACAAAAAAATGCCTAAATAGTGATGGATTTAGCGACAGACCTATTCCGTTGTTAAATTAGTGACGGAATAACAACAACTTAGCGACGGATTTTATGTGTTTTGTCAAATTAACATTTAGCGACGGATTAGCAACGGATTAGCGACGGAATATTTCCGTTACTAAATACGTAGCTAATTTTAGCGCAAAAAATAGTGATGAATTTACGACGGATTTGCGATATATTTTTTAGGGTTGACTCCATGATTTTAATTGCTATAGATTAGCGACGGATTTATATTTACATTGTTGCTTTTGTTATAATATTTTAGCGACGGATTTTTGAATCCGTTGCTATATAGCGACGGATTTTTGAATCCATCGTTATATAGAAATGGATTCTCAAATCCGTCACTGGATTTATAAAGGAGAATTTTTTAAAAAGAATATTAGCGACGGAATTAAAAATCCGTCACTAAATTTACAAGCGAATTTATTAAAAGAATATTTATTTCCAAGATTAGCGACGGATTAATATATTCGTCGCTAACGTTACAAAATTTATTAATTTATTAATTCATTAATATTAATATTCCTAAATTCCTAATTCATGATCTCTTGTCTGCATAATTAATAATTCCTAAGTTATTCAAAAATCTGTCTCTCCCTAACCCTAGTTCATGGTCTCCTCTCTGCCTCTGCCATTTGGGCTCCTTTGCCGGTCTCCACCTCGCCGTCGGCCGTCCAATCCAAAAATTCGTCCCTTCTACATCTCAGTTACTCCATATTCTACTTTCGGCTTCTCCACTCTTTCGTTGGATTCCGCCCTCATCTCTCGGCTCTCACAATCACACTGTTTTCTCCCTCGTCTCTACCGCCTCACACCCTCCGCCCTCTGCCCTCCGCTCCTCACATCCTCAGATGCCAAACGGTCAGACCTCACTACAACACAGTCAGCTACTCAAGACCGCAACTCACCAACTCCTTCGTTTCTTCGTCCAGTCCTCTTTAAGGAATCAAGGTAAATTTTAATATATTTGGTTAGTTTAATTATTTGTCTTTAACAATGAAGTCTCTGACTCTCTGTTCATTTTTAGTTTAATTTTTTTGACTACTACTATTTCTGCTTCTGCTGACTGCTGCTATCTTGCTACTACTAATTTTGCTCCATTTTCTGATAGCTCTACATTATTTCTAATCCTAGGTACTAGATAGTATATTGATTAAATATTGAATAAAACAAAGTAAAAAATACTTAGAAAACAAGAAAGATTTCGTGATTTTTAGTATTTGCTATATTCTTGAGGAGCTTACAAACATTTTGCTCAATTTCCAACATGCTTAAGAGTTGAGAATCATATGACTTTGGGTTTCATATAAGTGGATTTTAAAGGGTGATTAAGCATAATAGAATTGGGGATTTTGGGTCACATGGCTTTTTAATAGTTCATTTCCCATGCTGAAGCTTGCAGAAAAATAGATGCATTGTCAATAGTTTCTCTTTGAAGGTGGGGTATAGTTTGAATTAAGGCATTGGCGTGCTTTAATTTAATTTACCCATTTACGCTTGTGAAACTGCTAATTATTTATGATTGTAATGTAGTAAAATATGTTACTGTATTTATGTTTTGGCAGATAGATGTTTAAAAAAATTGACTTTGCCTTTGCAGTCTCTATGGCAGGTGAAACTACTAATTATTTCGGATTAATTTACCCACTCTTGCGGTCTTGCCTTTGCAGTCTCTATAGCTAAGTCATTGTTTATTCCATTTCCAATTGCTTCAAAGTTCAGATAAAGTTTGTCAATGAATGAGGAATCAAATCATAGATGTACATTAACTTATCATCTGGATTTCAAAACCTGAGATGGAATAAATATCATATTTTGTAGAGTTTAAAGTGGATAACCAATTCTTAACTTGCAAATGGAAAACTGACAGACTTGAGCAAACAACATATTTTAAAGAATATCTGATACTCTGATTCTTGACAGGAAAATTTACATGGAATCTGTGTTGCCTTTCTTTTAGAAGCTTATTAAATGATGTTATGAGATGACTCTGTGTGTATTGGGTTTTGGGTGAAATTTTATATTAAAAAAATGAAAAAATAAATAAAAAGAAAAAAGGTAATCTTCTAATTTGAACTTCTAGAGCATAGAAAATTACTTGTCCTAAATTTTTGTTATAACACAACTTTTATTTCTTTCAAAATGCATATACTAACAAACTTTTGACTAGAAATTGTAGTTTCATCGATGCTTTTGGAACTTACCTTTTGCTTGGTTGCTTAATATACACTCTCATTGATCCTATGCAGATAGGATGAATTTATTGTTCTGTCACAGAAGATATTCTTACAGGATTCAAAATGCATGCCCGTGGTTGGCGATCAATTTATTGCATGCCCAAGAGGCCAGCCGTTAAAGGGGTTCTGCACCTATTAATCTTTCAGATCGTTTGAACCAAGTGATTCGATGGGCTTTGGGATCTATGGAAATGTTTTTCAGTAGGCACTACCGTATATGGTATGGATATAGTGGAAGGTTGAAATGGCTAGAGAGATTTGCTTCTGTTAACGCCACCATATATCCAATCACTTCAAATGTTGAAAACCTAGGAGATTATTAGTTTATATTTATTAATATATTTCATACTGTTTCAAACGATGTAATATTGCACAATGATTTTTTTTTTTTAATATAGTATATATTTTACAAATTGTTGAAGTATTATATTATAGGTTTAATGCAAGTATGTGATATTTTACATATTTACTTTTAAAAATTTAGTGCGTGGGACAAAAATTGTAGTAAATACCTAATAACAATAAAAAATGGCAACGAAATAGCTACGAATTTTTTCCGTAGTTAAATTTAGCGACGGATATTTTCATCACTAAATTGTAGCTAAATGGCATTTAATTCAAATAATAAAAATAAATTAGCGACGACAATTTTCGTCGTTAAATGTAGCGACGGACGATAGCGACGGAAAAATCCGTAGTTATTCCCTTGTAAATTTCGTCATCAAATCCGTCGCCGGAAGAAATTTAGCGACGGAATATTCCGTCACTAATTGTAGCGAGGGAAATAAATTGCGTCGCTAGATTCTAGCGAGGAGCGAGGAGCGTTTTTGTGACGGACAAATTCCGTCGCTAAACACTTTAGCGACGGATTTTCCTTATTTTGCGACGGAATCAGTCTGTCGCTATTTTCGCATTTTTTTTGTAGTGGACCTCGTTCTTTCTAGACTAATCTCTTGACCACTAAGCCACAGGTGTTTCTTGAACCCTATTGAAATCCACGACCTTTTAACTCTTTCTACCTAATTAAAATCCTAACCCAAACCCCCCAAATTAAAACCATTCTTTCTTTCTTCTTCTTTTCCCCCACCCGTAACTCTCTCTCTCTCTCCCTCTCGGCAAAAAAAAAAAAAAAAAAAAAAAAAAAAAAACCCAAACCCCCGACCCTCTCTCTCGACCAGACGACGTTGCCCGCCAGCCACCCGCAGTCAGCCTGCCATCAGCCGCCGCCTGTCGTCGACAGCCATCGTCCGCTCGTCAACACCCCGCTACCGGTAGCCTCGCCGTTTGGTTCGCCGAAAGAAGAAGCTTCACCCCCAGCTCCTTTGAACCATTTCTACAATGCCGAGAAGATTCGCTAATACAAGGAGGGTAAAATGGAATAATGATCATTACCTCGTCTTAGAAGGTAAAGCCCTTGAACCTGATCAATTTTCTAGGGAGGTGATTGAGATGCTTAGGTACCAAGGCTTGTTAGGGGTGTTTTTTGATATTAAATGTGATACCTACCCCGAGTTGGTGAGAGAATTTTATCATCACATGGTAGTCACCAAGAATGGGGATAAATTGGAAATCACCTCTGAGGTTCGAGGTGTGAAAGTGACTTTGAGTGAAGCCCGCTTGGCCAAACTTCTAAAGTTGACCCCTAACGGTGTATCGGAGTACAACCGTAAGGCCTGGATTGGGACTCAAGCCCTGGGGTACAAGGATTACCTGAGCTACCTGTTAGGTAGAGAGGATGGATTCTCCATGGCCACGAGGCCAAGTAAGAAGTGGTTGACTGCCGAGCAAAGGATTTTGGTGATGCTCGTATCGGACAGTTTGTTGCCCAACAACAACAAAAGTAAGGATGTTGGGAGCTTGGATTGCACATTTGCCTATTTCCTTAAGCACAAGGTTAAGTTTAACTTGCCCGCCCTCATGTTGAAGCATATGGATTTCTGCATCTCCAACCATAGGCAGAGTTTGCCCTATGGTATGATCTTGAGTTGGATTTTGGTGAAGAAAGGGGTAGATGTGAGCCAGACTATGGCTAAACCCGTGGGTGGAATGATCTTCAACGCGCAAAACCTCCGTCGCAGCAACATCTATCATATGGGTGGTGGGGAGTACATCACCATTTAAGAGGTGGACAAAAGGCCGGTGGCTGAGAGGAGGTCGTTGATGGAGCAACTTGGCATCCCGAATAAGAAGTTGAAGCAAGCAGTGCAAGAGGACGAAGAAGAAGAAGTGAATGTGGGAAACAGTGACAACGCTAGTGACGAGAGTGCTGCTCGGGAGGAGAGAAGGTCTAAAGCCGGAAATGACGTGCGGACAACCGAGGACCGTATTTTGGCGCAGCTCCAGAGACAAAATCTAATCATGGAGCAAGGCTTCTCTATGCTAAACACCAAGGTTGACTCGTTGGATCGGAGGATGTCGGCATTAGAAGCCAGGTATGATGAGGACAGATTGTCGGATGCAACTAGCTCTGGAGCAGGGAACCAAGGTAATCTTGTTTCAAACTTTAGTATATCTCCTAGTTTAAGTAATCCTAGCCTTGAACTCGTTAGGAAATCATAAGTGTGATGTAGCTCAGTAATAAGATGCTTTTAGTCATATGGTATGTTTAGAGTTAAGTTGAGTAAGTTGGTTAGTCCGGTGCTTTGTTTTGGTTGGTTTAACTTGATGAAAACTTCCTGCAAGCAAATCTCCTATTTGTCGAGCCACTTTTGATTCTTGTCACACAACCTATGCTTCAAGCTATTTGCTCTACCTAGAACTCATTGCATCTAAGCTTTGAGGACGAAGCTTCTTGTTAGGGGGGAAGAGTGTCACATCACGTAAATTTATCCTTTAAACCTGAATTAATTATTTAATTAATTTATAAATTCCGCATCATTATTCTAATTATCTCCTTTAAATATGGTTAAGGGAACCAAGATTGATCCGAATCACTTAATTTATTGATATGGTCAATGGGTTGGACCTTGACTTAATGACTTTGGACCTTAGGACCTTAGGCCTTAGAACTTAGAGGGCCCACATACTTCTCAGATTTTCCTCGGGAATCCTAACCTAGTTAAAAGAAATTGGAAAGCATTGGAATCCTATCTCTCATCTCTCTTGCTCGAAAATCCCCTCCCCCAAAACCTAGCCAAAGAGTTCTCCATGTTTTCCACCATTGAACGCTACCAAGTTTAGACCTTTCCCCATCACCAAGCTTAGGAAAGGTAGGTGATAGAAGTTTATGGTTCTATGTTATGGTGTTATAGATTCTATCTAAGTTTTTCCCTTTTGTTTGGTGGATTTTTGTTGGTTTAATGAAGATCACTTGGAAGAGGACATTCAAGAAGGATCTTAGGAATTGTGAGAGGTTTGAATAGGCTAAGAAGGTAACCCATGTCTTACAAGACCTATTTTCTTTGCTATATTATGATTTATTGGTATCCTTAAATGATTGAATGCGTTATCTTGTGATTATGCCTTGATAGAGCTTGTGTTTAGGGTTTGTTAATACTATTCTTAGAGCTATTCCATGTATTCAAGTCCCTATTAATGTTGATGTGACTTTTGATGTGTTTGGACTTGAAATTTTGTATTCTTGGCAAATTCCCGAAGTGGGAAATTTCGCCTCAGCAGAGGTACTAGCTAGGGGCCAGCGGGTAGTCGTCCACCCGCCATACCACCTGCTGGGATATGGGACAATTCCGGCGAGGGGCCGGTGGGTGGTCGTCCACCCTCCGTACCACCCGCTGGTATAGTGGTGTGCATCTGGCGGGTGGTCGCCCACCCGCTGGTACGTGACGTGCAGTGATTTGTTGGCTTCCGTTGGTTGATCCCCGTGTACGTGAATGTCTTCCTTGATTTCCCGTAAGTCTAGAACGATGTCCTAAGTACCGTAATAGGGTTTGCGAGTTTTGTTTGATGTATGTGGTCCAACCTTGTAATTCGTTGGATTAAAGTAAAATATATGATGTTCTTATGAGTTTTATGATTATCTTGGTTTCACTTATCGTCGTATGCTTGTTCATATGTTGTACTTTGCCCTTGATTATCCTTGAACAGGCTAGTGTTGAGCCTTAAATGTTATGTTGATGTCTATGTATGATGAATGTAAAGAGATTGGCGGTAATGAGCTGCGTGCTCAAAATGATTGCCGTTATATTGCACTGCGTGTGCTGATGATATTGCGCTGCGTGTGCTTATGATATGGCATTGCATGTGCTATTATGATTATGTTATGAAAAGCAGGCGGGGAGCATAAGGTTGGAACTCGAAACGTGTAACTTGGTTACGATTTGTTATTCTTGTCTCTTATCGTTGTCTTATCGTGTCAATCCTATTGGTATGTCATGAGTTTGATTGGGTGATGAGTGTACCCTCCAATGGGTTAATGTTCTGATTTTAAAGCTAGAGTTGTTAGGATTAATCTTATGTACTCCCAAGTCTCAACTGATTTTCTTATAATATATATATATATATATATATATATATATATATATATATATATATATATATATATATATATATATATATATATATATATATATATTGTACTCAATGCGGGGTTACTTAGCAATTCTGGCTAACGGTTGCTGCACCATATGTTTTTTAGGTACAGACTAGTTGATACAAGAGAGCGCTAGATGGAGCTGTGGTTCCTAGTCTTTGTTCGTGTTAGCTTTTAGTTTTGACGGCTTGTGAGCCATTATTTTATACATATGCTATTTATGGATTATGATTAGTTGAATAGTAATCTATGCATCTAAGTTCTTAGATGTGGCATAACATCCCCAACTATTATGTTTAGCTTCCGCATTATTTTGATATTAATGTTAGACTTTATCGTAATTCTTAAGCTTAAAATGTTTTAAATTATGCCTAAAATCGGGGGTGTTACACTGATACTAGATGAGAACTGTATAACTGTACTAGATAAACTGTGTAGTTACAACTGTATAGACAGGGAGATTATATACCAGAGGAATCATAGGGAGACTAGGACAGGGAGTCATACTATGACTCAAATACAAAGACTCCTAATACTACTCCTAATATCAATATGCTTGTCCTATATTTTTTTCTTAGTTACATGACCTTTTTATAGTGGAAAATGAGTGATGTACTCGTGGTGATAGAGTAATTAGCTGTCATGCATAGTGGAATAACATATCGCCTTTGTGATTCATATTTGTCCATAAAAGACGAAATTTATGGTCCCAATCAAGAGCCCTCACACCATGGCCCTATAAGATTGTGCAAAGGTAAATGATGTAGGATAATGACCATTCAGAAAGAATTATGAAAATTTATGTCATCATTTAGTCCACAATGACTAGCATTAATTCTTCAAACGGCTAATTTTAACTAGAATAATCTTGTAATGAGTTCGACCATTACTTCATCTTATAACCCCTCATTTTTTTTTATTTAATTTGGTTGACAAGGAAAATCGTAGCCATTATCGAATGATGTACACTAGTAAACTCTACTCCGGTGTAATATAATAACACACAAACTACATAAGAGAAATAAATCATACGGAGTAATAAAAAGAACCGTACAGGTAATCACATATTAAATCATTAGAGCTATACCGGCACATTAAATTTTATAGACATGACATCATATGTTACATCAACCCAACAACAATATCTTATTTTCATCCTAACCCAAATAATTGCACCAATATTTGTCACAATCACACCACAAAACTCCATAGGATACATAAGTCGAAACAAATAATGTGTTTCATACTAGAAATATGAGAAATGACAAAAAGGCTCATCATCATCAACAAAGACCCAATGTTGTGACCCCATCCACCCCCACACAGCTAAAATGCACAAAACCTCACAATTTGAACCATCAAGCCCATCATTTCATCCCCATTCCCCACACAGAGAGAGAGAGACTGTGTACTTTAATTTTACCCAGGCCAAGAACCTTCCAAAATCAGAATCCAACATGAGTAAAGTATAATAATAAAAGGTGACAAAATCTCTAAAAAGAATGTGCAGAGCTGTAGCCAGAAAGCCATATCCTGACTGGCAGACCATTCAACGAACCAGTCCTACGTCGTTTACTCGGTTACGTAGCCGGCGGCTGCATAAAGTTGAATTTTTCACCGCCCAATTCCCCCACACGCTCTCCCTCCTCCCCCACCCCCCTTCAAAGTACCTCACGAGTCACGACACATATTCTATGTTGGGTTCTTCATAAAATAATAAAATTTGTATCCCATTGATAATAGAGAAAATGACACTTTTTACCCCTGAGTTATATATTTATAGCACTTTTTCTCCCTCAATTATTTAGGTAAGCACATTAGCCCCCTCAATTATTATAAAAGTGGTGCTTTTTCCCCTTGATATATTAAATTGACATTTATACCCTTAAAGTAAACATTTTATTTATTTTACTACTCCAACAAATTATTGCGTATACGTAGGGATGACCACGGTTCGATTTAAATTGAACTGGATACTAAAGTAATCAAATTAATAGTTTACGGTTATAATTCAGATCTAGAACCCAATATTTAAATGTCAATTTATTAAAATTATGTATCAAAAAATTGAATCTTGAACCGTGAACCGGCGGTTCCGGATATGATTCGCGGCTTTGAACCGTCTTTATTTTAAAATTTTATTTTTTATTTTAAAATAGTCTAAATTCAACAATAAATGTATTTTATTTTTTTTCAGAACATGAATCGTCAGTTTCGGTTCACGATTTTAATAAACTCTAAATATCGAATTTCGATTCTAAATTGTAATTGGAATATTTCGGTTTGGTTGCTATAGTGTTTGTTTAGTTTGAACCAAATTATGGTCATAATTTGTTGAAGAAAAAAATAAATTAAATATTTAGTTTAAGGGTAAATATGTCCATTTAACATTTCAGGGGAAAAAACAGCCACTTCAATAACTTAGGGGGAAAAAATGCTATAGGTATATAACTCAGGGGGAAAAAGTGCCATTTTCCCTTGATAATATGAGATACAATTACATATATAATACTTGGAGGTTGTACTAAGTATTTTTTTTCTTTTATCACAAAGAAAAATTTACACTGACAAAGGGTGGTACTAAATAAACCCTACGTTCGGCCCTAACCGGCATATGATCACAACGAATTTGACTAGGAACAGAACTAGAAATTTCAATTGGTGGAGCGAAAAATTAAAAATAAAAAAAAAAAATTTCAAACAAGATAAAAAATTTTAGGAATAAGGGTTAAATAGGCCACTCAATTGCGGCGAATTATTGTGTGGATCATGGTCAACACAGTGTTATGTGCACCATAATAAAAAAAATACATTTTAATATATACTAAATGTACATTATTTTTGTACTGAATGTACATTATACAATATAATGTATACTCAGTACACAAATAATGTATATCCTCTGAATACAATGTACATTATTTTTGTACTGAATATACATTATTATTGTATTGAATGTACATTATTTTACAAAATACAAAATATGGTCCACAGAACTTGTGTGGACCATGGTCCACACAATAATGATTGCTCAACTGCACACCAAACTGAAATTAGGTCATCGAACTCCAAAAAAAAATATATATATATATAATTGGATCCCTACACAACACAAAATTATGCAATTAGACCCAAAATGATCTATTTACCTTAAAGTAAGCTGACGTGGCGGCGGTTATCAATTTTTAAAATAATTTTTAAAATAATTAATTAAAATTACAATTAAAAAAAAAAAAAAAAAAAAAAAAAAAAAAAAAAAAACCCCTAAACTACCGTCTTCATCTACATGGCCATGGAGACGAAGGTCTTCGTGAACCTTCATCTCCAGCCATGGAGACGAACCCCCGGTAGCTTATGTGTTTTTTTTTTTTAAATATTAATTAATTATTTTATTTAAAATTATTTTAAAACTCGGTAACCGTCTTTCAGGTAAGCAGGTCATTTTGGTCTAATTGCGTGATTTTGTATTGTTCAAAGACCCAATTATATGTTTCTTGAGTTTGATGGCCTAATTGCAGTTTGGTGTGCAGTTGAGTGACATATTTAACCCTTATTTCAAATTTTTATAATAATATATGAAATAGTTGAAATAAATTGCATATCACCTCTATTAATATAATATTCATAAATACTTTTTAAGATAAAATTAATATAAAAGGTTAAAAATGTAGCTAGCTAGCAAGATTCCATTCCTTAACCTTTTGTAATAAAAATTCACTATCAACCAACTAAGCCACTTCAGCTTTAATGGTTTTTATGTATAATAATGTATTATTTATGCATACTAAAACATACACTATACACACACATATACATATGATGGGGTTGGGGGAGGGTGACAACTGTCCCCATTGCCCCACCTCTCGATCCGTCCCTGGTTGACAGTAATAAAATTACCAAAATATATTTACAACTGTATTGATAAAAGTGTTGAGTACAAAATTGAGCGTATCCCTCGCATATTACATGGGTGCCACCGTATAATTATCGCATATTACATGAGTGCCACCGTATAATTAAAAAGAAAAAAGGAGAATTGACTTTTTGCTTCCACCTCACCTAGCAAGTGTTAAAATTGTGGGGTTGAGGACAACCTAAGTATAATAGTTATAATAATAAGTACAATAATTATATATAGTGCTCTTCTTTCATAAGTGAGCTGTCCCTCCATAACTGTTGCTCCTTAATAAGGTGGTGCTCTAAGAAATGCGTTGTCTCCGCATTTAGTGCAATCGCTCTACCTGCACTCCACTCACTCCTGACTATTATTATTTGATTGTCTTAATTGCTTTGACGAGTTAGACCAAGTGTGTTCCAGGTTGGGTCCAGTAACTTATCCAATTATCCCGACAGAGTAAATCAACATAGGTTGTATATAGCTGATTGACTCAAATCAAGAATGTCAATAGCCCGCTTCTATTGAAAGTTGAATTTGAAACTTTGTAGTTATCCAATTAACAATCTAACAAACTTGGTTGATATTGAAAATTTTTGTAAAATTTTATTTTTTATTTTATAAATCTACCCATGCTAAAGGTTATGGATTCGCCCTTAGCCCATATATAAACAAGACACATTGTTTATCCAATCATTATTGTATGGACCATGGTCCACACAAGTTGTGTAGACCATATTTTGTCTATTGTAAAATAATGTACATTTAGTACAAAAATAATGTACATTCAGTACAAAAATAATGTACATTATATTCAGGGGATGTACATTATTTTTGTTCTGAGTGTACATTATATTTTATAATGTACATTCAGTACAAAAATAATGTCCATTTAGTATATTAAAAATGTACATTTTATTATGGTCCACATAACATTGTGTGGACCATGGTCCATACAATAATTTGCCTTGTTTATCCTGTAAACCGTACTCCACCCATACAAAAAGGTCGTCGTAAAATTGCGGTTCAGTGCTTAACACATATAAAAAAGATTCATTTGTTTATTATGTAAACCCCTTTAATTCTGATTTGCAGTGTAACATTCGTTGGTTTTATGGCTATGGACTAGCCGGACGGTGAGTCAACATTACCGTAAAATATTAAGTAAAAGTTGAGCAAGAGAATTAATAGAGTAATTGTCCTTGTATTAAATTGATAATCCTTTACAATGTGACATCAGAGGTATTTATGCAAGATTTATGAGCGTTGAATTGAAAAAGGAGGAAGAAGAAATTAACAAAAATGAACATTAGGAAGGCTTCCAAAGTGTTAAATCAACTTCCTAATATGAAAAACGAAAATCCGGTGCCAAAACTAGAAAGAATCTCCATCAAATCTTCATCCACCGCATCTGTGCATGACACCCGATCGGAGCCCCTAACTGCCTGCATTGGTCGCTCAGCCAAGCTTACCGACAAACCACGCAAGCGGATCGCAGCCCGGCTGTTGAGCCTATCCACCTTTTTTCAAGCAAGTAGCTAACTTGCCAATCCCGACCGCCTAGATGTCTCTCTGACTGGGTACCTTATCAGGGGTATCCATCAATATTGTTGGCCAACATCCTTAATAAATATAGGTACTAATACATCTCGACTTTTAATGGTTGATAATTAAAATGAATTTTTGTTTATTGAACTTTTGCTGAACCCTGTTTGAATAAACATCTCTCAATATATAGAAACCATATTGTTTGAGTCACAAGGCCGTATGTAAGACCTTATTATTAAATAGAAACCAAAAGTTAATGAACATAACTTACACATTGACATTTCAAAGTCAACCAACTTTGATTATAGGGAAAAGTACAATTGAGTATGGGCTTAATTGGTTTTGTTCTTATATAATACTAATAAGATAAGAAGGTGGTGTTTGACTTTAACATTATCGATCAATGCCGGCATTCATGATCTAGAAACCACAATAGATATGGGCTAATTACATTGATTCCAACACTACAAGCAACAAAAAACAAAGAATTTGACTACAGCTGACAAATACTAAGGCCTACCAGAAAATCCCCAGTCTAAGTTGGCAACCTCAGATCAGGTCTATCTAGCAAAAGGGTATGGGAAAAATTAAAAGAATAAATCAAGAATGGAACAACAATAATACTTCAGGAGAATCACTCCGATATTAACCCGAATTAATCTTATCCTGAGACTGATTATGGTTTAACCAAATTAGTCTCGTTTTGAGATTGACCAAGTCGATCATATGATCGAATCATTGGTGGCATTCTGGTCGGGTGAGACTAATCGAGTCAAATTAGGTCAAATTTGTCTCGTTCAACCGGATGTTGACTGCTATTAGACTGGGGAAGTTTCAAGTTTCTGATACTCTGTTGGATCAACTTGTGTGTTTTGATCATCATCATCATCATCATCAACAAGTGAGATGGTTGCTGTTAGCTCTTTGGCTCTCCTGGCTTGATCATTCCAATCGGTCCTGCCCAATACCAGTAACATGGTCAACGCACAAGAAGCCTGCGCCGCCAGTAATCCAAGCCAGAGTCCCTGAAAATCAAACCCTGCAAAGAAGCCCAACCACCCCGCGACCGGCAATCCGACAAAGTAAAAACATCTGAGGTTGATTTTCGCCCCGAGTTTCGGCCTCGCCGTCCCTCTCAGCGCGCCGCATCCGGTCGTCTGCGGGCAGTTCCCGAGCTCGCACAGTCCAATAATCGGCAAAACCGCCGCCGTTAACGCCATGATTTCCGCGTCTTGGGTGAAAATCGAAGCCCAAACATTCCTCACCGCCACCCCAAACGTGAGCGCCGCCAGCCCGAGGATAAAGCTCGCACAGAGCCCGACAATGGCCGCGAGCTTGGCCCGGCCCGGCCGGCCCGCGCCGAGCTCGTTTCCCACCCTCGTCGACACTCCGAAGCTCAGAGACGACGGGAAAATGTAGATCAACGACGTCGTTTGAATCAGAACCCCCATTGATGCAACGGTGGCCCTCGGATTCGCCAAAAGCCCGCATAACAGAATCATGAGCTCATACCACCACCATTCCAAGCACACACTAGCACAACTCGGAATCGCTAAATTTAGCAAAGATTTATACCCTTTAAAGCATTCCCACGAAACCCCACCCCACGTTTTCTTGTAAACCCCCGAAAACAAAACATAAACAACCAAAGACCCAACAACGTTGAAATTACACCAAACGCTACTCAAGGCCACGCCTTTGATTCCCAGATTGAGAACCACGACAAGGAAGTAGTTGATGGGAACATGTACGACGATAGCAAAGGCGGCGCAGAACGTGAGCGGCAACGTGACGGACTGCGAGCGGAGATAGATACGAAGAGGGTGAAGCAGAGACTGGGCGATAAGATCAGGGAGGGAATAAAGAATGAAAGACTGAGCTTCCATGGAGATTTCCCGATCTTGGCGGCACAAAATCAAGATTCTCTCCATATTACACCAGAGAATAGCAATGGGGATTGAGGTAAAGAGAAGCAAAACAATCGTCCTCTGCAAAGAAAGACCCATAAGCTTAAACCTCTTAGCACCAAAAGCCTGCCCACAAATAGGCTCCATGCCCATCGCCAGCCCGGAGAGAATGGAGTAGCCAGTGATGTTGGCGAATCCGATGGCCAGAGACCCGCCGGCCAGCGAAAGATCGCCGAGGCGGCCGAGGAAGAGCATGGAGATCATGGAGCGGCAGTAGAGAAGAAGGCCGGTGACGATCATGGGAAGAGCGATGTCAGATATGCATTTCGCTTCTTTGGCAGCAAGAGAGAGATGGGTTTGGTTATGATTATGGTCTTCTTCCTTTGGGTTTTCTTCAGAAATCAGAGGAGCCTCCATCTTTTCTTTGCAGGCAGAGATGAAGGCGAAGGGGAGGAAGAAGAGAGGGTTTTTGGTATTTGATTGCCGTTTGTCGCCATATTTATAAGCGCGCTTTGTTTCCTATTTTGCGGTATACGTGTTTGGGTCGATAGGGATTGAGATGAAAAGGAAGGAGAGAGAAATTAGGAGTGAAAAACATTATTGTATAAATCATAATATATTGTTTTATTACTATAATAGTTCCTAGTGTTCATTTATAGTGTTCATTAATTTATATGTCACGGGTAAATCTAATACTTCATAATACGGAGTAGTTAATAAAATCAAAGAATTTTCTTAATCCAGACTTATTACCAGTTTGGTCATTTGACTATTTTTTTTTTACTTAATTATATTTCTAATTTTAAAAATCTTAACCAATTTGGTCATATGTTTATTTAGCCGTTAGACATCCGTTTATTCGAAACCAAATTGATAATTTCGTTATAATTAAGGACCATTTCAATCATCACATGCACCGTTTTCTCTCTTATTAAACTGAAGAGTTAATAACTGAAATGGTCCTTTGACTATGATAAAATTATAAATTTGGTCCCATTAAACGAACGCCTGAGGGCTAAATAAATAGATGACCAAATTAGTTAAGATTTTTAAAGTTAAGGGCTTAATTAGACCAAAAAAAAAAATTAAAACTAAGTTGATAATTTAACTATAGTCCTTATTTATTGGTAATTAATTCAATTTCATATTATTATTGATTACGTTAGATTACCTTCGACATATTTCTGAGAAAGTGTTTATATTCGAGTAATTTAATATATTATTATAGAAATGTTTATAATAGGTATTGTAACTGCACTATGTTTGTTTGGTTTACGATATATACCACTAATATATTACAGGAATGTTTGGTTGGTGAGTATCTATCATGTCAATTTAAATATTGGAAAATTCTTTCTTCACCCCCAAAATTTTCTCATTTCAAAATGTCCCCTTACATGACTTAGAGAATCCACATTAGTTTAATTTTGGTGCAGTTGTTTTTGTAATAGTAACTAGGAAAGAGAAAGAAATATGAGAAAAAAAGAAAGATCAAATATAAAATATATTCTGAGTTTAAAAAATTAAAAATAAATAAAAATAAATAAATCACAGTCATTTTACGCGCCTAGCAACGCGTGCAATGCACGCGCACAGCAGGTGCGCGGAACGAGCACCTGTTGCCATTAATGCAATCATTTAATTTTTTTTTACTGGGCCTCACAATTATGTAATGCTTGCATGAGAAATAACCCACCAAAATAACCCCCTCCCACTCTAGTTTAACCCCAATTTGAGTTATTTAGTCTGACATAAACCCCCAAATATACATTGATAATGTTGCTCTTATAACCATTGATGATCATGAATTGATTAACTTTACTAACTTGTTATCAAAGAATAAATTATTCCATAAAAAGTGTCATATCAAAATGGATTCACTACAAGAAAAATGCACAAAAACAATAATTTTTGACAAAAGTGTTATCTTTTATTTAAAAGATAACATTTTTGTCTAAAATCGTTGTCTTTGATTCAACTCTTTTGTCAAAGACAACAGTTTTTGCCAAACTGTTGTCTTTAATTAGTGTGTTGTCTTTGCGCATTTTGTGAAAAAACAACACTGCAAAGACAACGATTTTTTAAAAACAATTGTCTATGTGTATTTATAAAAAAAAAACAGTTTTATTTAACCGTTTTCATTGGTGTGTTGTCTTTACGCGCACTTGAATGACAACACTACAAAGACAACGATTTTTTTTAAACTGTTGTCTTTGCGTTGCTTTTTTTTTTTTTTTTTTTTTTTTTTTTTAAAGACAACAATTTTATTTAACCATTGTAGTTGGTGTGTTGTTTTTAAGCAAACTTGAATACACAACACTTCAAAGACAACAGTCTCTTTAAGACCGTTGTCTTTGTGCGTTTTTTAAAGACAACAATTTTTTTTTTTAACTGTTGTCGTTGGTGTGTTATCTTTAAGTGAACATGATACACAACACTACAAAGACAACAATTATTTTAAAACCGTTGTCTTTGCGCGATCTTTTTTTTTTTTTTTTTTTTTTTTTTTTTTTTTTTTTTTTTTTAAATTTAAAGGCAACGGTTTTATGGTTTTATTTAACTGTTGTTGTTGTTTTGTTGTAAATTAAACAAACTTAAATACACAACACTTCAAAGACATCGATTTTTTAATTAAGACCATTGTGTTTGTGCATTTTTTTTTTAAAAAGATCGACAAAGATTTTATTTAACTATTGTCGTTGGTGTGCTGTTTTTATGCACACTTGAATACACAACACTTCAAAAACAATGATTTTTTAAACACGTTGTCTTTGTGTGTTATTTTAATAAGGACAATGGTTTTATTTATCTGTTATCGTTGAGACGTTGATTTGTTGTATCTACCATATACTTAGACGATTATTATATTCTAAATACTTTCTTAATTTGAAAAAAAATAAAGAATTACATATATATATATATATATATATATATATATATATATATATATATATATATATATATATATATAACATTCTTTAATTTGTAATTAGATATGTTATTGTTTAAAAAGAAAATAAAAAAATAATTTAGTTTTTTGACTTCTCTCTTTTACACACTTAGCATAAAAGGTCTTCCTTCTCAAATAAAAAAGTTTTCTCTCTCTAAAAAAAATTAAGTTTCCCTCTCAAACAAAAACCTCTGAACTTCAATTCACTTCGCATTGTCAACCTTTCGTCTCACTTCCGAATCGAACAAAAACTTCCGCCGTCGTCTCAGTTCCGTCGTCATCTCACCTTCTGATGAGGAAATTTTTCACGCATCCATCATGTATTAAATCACAGTATAGAGTTTAGATATCGTTTCACTGGAGATGGCTTTTGTAATGTAAGGAATTGATGCAAAGTGAAGCTAAACACAAGCTAAAACTATTCTTTTAGAAGCTAGACCTATTGGTAAGGAGTTGGTTTGATATGATTAGGCTAATAACAAATAAGACAAGCAAAACAAAGGACCGGGATTTGGTTGATTCAAGCTAAGATGCCAAATATTACACTAAGATTAGGGAATTAAACAAGGCATAAGGTAAGAGAGATGCACAAAAGTGTCCAAATACCACTCTCGTAACTATTTGGACTTGCAACCTATCCTTAAACTCCACTCTCGTGGCAATTCAATCCAAGGTTGCCCAAGCAAGAAAACAAGGCATAAATTCTCCTTAATACTCGAACTACTCTCATATTGGGCATTAAGTGTGTGAATGTATGACTAATGTACAAGCTCTACTCTCGTAGCAACAAACACACTACAAATCAAGCATATAATTGGGATCCAACAATTATAGACAATTTCACTACAAACCCAAATCACACAACAAACCCTAGATCTCCCATATAATCCCCTTTATGCAATACAACTCAAATAGGCATCAATAGCAAGAAATCAAATGAAATCCTAGTCCCAAAGCACTTAGCTACTCATAATATAACAATAGAAACACAATATTAAAAGAGAAATTGAAAGCACAGATTAAAAGTAATGAGAAGAGATAAAAAGAACACTTCTCTATTGAAGCCTTGAAATCCAAGATTTGCAATGTTATTGAGCTTGGAAATGGAAAGGAACAACTACTCTACACCTATCTAAGCTATTCTAAAGTTAACCCTAGCTAGGTAGTGAAAGAGAAATGAAAAGTGAGTTTTTGGGTTGGAAAGAGTTCTTTTTAAAACAAGGAAGTAAGTGTCTTTAAAAAGTTGCAGAGGCTGGGCACAGGTGCGGGCAAGGGTGTGCCCAGACCTGTGCCCACAAAACAATGCACACTGTACAGTGGCCACAAGTGCAGGCAAGGGTGTGCCCAGACCCGTGGCCACAAGACAGTGCACACTGTCTGCTAGCCACGGGTGTGGGCACACCCTTGGCTAGTCGGGGAGGCCTCTAAGGTCTTCGGGAATGCTTCGGTGCTCTTCTCGGCCGCGGGTCCCGCCATGGTCCATCCCAAAACTCCAAAAATCATTACTTTGGTCATCCAATTGTTCTCATGCTAATGTGGCTCCAAAAAATTGATCAAATACTTCATTAAATGCCTCAAAACATTGTTTCTTTGTCAAATCACCTAACACATGCAATAATTTCATAAGTGACCAAAATGACTCCATAATATAATAAGTAACAAGCAACAAGTATCAAAACATGCAAGGAAAAAATATTAGTTTTAGACATTCATCAACTCCCCCGCACTTAGACTTTTGCTTGTACTCAAGCAAAAACAAGAACTAAATCACCAATATAGCACTGAAGTTGATCATACTCTCACTTTGCACAACTTAACAAACTACAACCCAACTCGACAAAACACAACATGTTTCAAGAATCATCTTAACATTTCACACAAGTTTCATTCTCAAGCCACTAACCAAGCACCAAAATTATTATAGAACGTGAGGATCAAGTTTGCACAAATACTAAGTTGAAATTATGCAAAACTTGGCTTTGAATGAGATTCCATAAGCTTGCACTTCATACTCCCACTAGTTCAACTCTAAGATTGCATGCTAAGATCAAGTAGGACTTTTATTAGGCTTGTAATGGGGCTAAGGGTGAATGGTTGACAAAGAAGGGGTAAGGAAATCAAACAAAAGAGAGAACTTCACACTTATTCACAATTGAGATTGGAAGAGATATAGCATCAAATAACTAAGGAGAAACTAACAACTAAACACAAAGCAACACTCTAAAGTAGTGGAGGTTGAGAACAAATTTTCAAAGCAAACTAACCGACTTTTATTAAACTTCTTCTTTTTCATTTCTTCATGTCTTTTCAACATTTTCATGATTTTTTTTTTCAATTTTCTCATTATTTTTTTTTCTTCAAATCAACAAAGAAACTTTTTCAATAAATCAAGACCACCACACTTAGATAACATTATAGAGAGTGTTGTTAACAAAACAAGTTCCAAAAAGAAAAAGAATCACTTCCATGAAAAAGAACAAGTGCTCTATTCTCTCAAGGGTGGAGGGAAACATTTTTGCT